CACAAGAAAACACTTATAAAAGGATGAAATGCTACCCTCAGGAGCTCCAACTTTCTGACTGTAGTTATCATTCAATTTGTAATTGCAGTCCTTCCAAATATTCCTCCCTGCTCTAAACACACCATAGAAAATCATCATCATCATCGTCATCATCATCATCATCATCATCATCAGTAGCATCTACCATGTACTGGGAAGTGTTCTGAAAACATTCTGAATATTTACTCATTAATTTTCACAATATCCATTTGAATAGGTCTATTAGGATTATCGTCATAGATGAAGATACTGATATGCGAGGTGATACAGTGTGCCTAAGCTTACACAGTTAATGAAGCTGTGTGTGTATGCATGGGGTGTGGATGCACACACACTTTCCATGCCATACACTTTAGTGAGTAAGAATTTGAAATTTTAAAAGGTTTGGAAAAATCTTTATTAAATTTCCCAAGATCTCATTTTTGAAGACGCCTCCTTCCTGTGATGCATGACACTTATGCCATTGGGCATAGACTCAGAAGGACATCACATGTACCTTGATGACCAGGAATCTACCCCCCCCCCCCAGCCCCTCATTCTTCATATGTTTCCTGCTTTATGGTTTTTTATTTTTTATAGAAAGGTTGAATACTTTATCCTTGGAAAAAAAGCTGTAATTTATAAGTGTGTGAAATCCACAGAATGCGAACTTTTGTTTTATTCATTTATGCAAAATGAGCATTTAACAACTATATGCCCAATATATAAGACCATAAACGTTTTAGAGGATCACATGAACAGATGTTCTTATGTTGAGCTAATTTTTCATTGCTAGGTTTCCCTACACATTATTGTCATTAGAACGTATACATCTGGGATCCCAGAGGTTGGTCGAGTTCTGTCCAGCTCGGCTTTGTTTCTGCCTGCTTTGACAGTGTGCCTTCAGGACGGAGTGGGAAGCATCTTTTTCTTTGTTCTAGAGAAATTTACATCTGTTACTTGAAGCTTTGGAAGGTTTTTCATGAAAACCCTCTGAACTTGGTACTTTTTTCTTAGGTATCACTCTTCAATTCCTATCTTTTATAGAATCAAATTTAGTCATTTTTGTGTTTTTTCTTCTAAGACTTAAGTTTTCTGTAGATGTATTGGTTTAAAGAAGTTTCTAGTATTGTTTAGTTTTGTTCAATTTCTAGTACTATATGTGTACAGTATATATTTTTAAATCTTCACCTTTTTAGTTGTGTCGTTTTTCTCATTCTTAGTATTGACTACCTTTGGCAAAACCCCTCACTTTAAGAAAAAATCAGACCAAAGATTGGTTTGTTTTATAGGGCTTTTCAAAGAAGTGGAATTTTGTTTAACATAATAAAACTTGTTGTTTTCTATTTAATTTCTGCTATTAACTACATTATCCTTTCTGTTTTCTTTTGGTCTTTTTAAAGAAATTTTTTATTTTGTATTCTCCAGCTTGAATTTATTGGTTGTTTTATTCATTTTCAGTCATTCTTATATTAAAAGTAATGTATTTAAATGCGTACATTTTCTGTCAGGAATGCTCCAACCACTTTCCATCACTTTTAACTGTATGTGGTAACTTACTGTCATTTATTTTCAAGTGATTTAAACAGTTTGGGGTTTTAATTTTTTTTTTAATTTCCATGAAAATAGATTTTCTTTTTTGCTTCTCTTTTTCTTATTCCCTTCTTTCAACTGCTGTTCTTCCTTAATTTACTTCTGCTGCCATTGAACTTAAGGCCCCACTGACTGGAAGAAACGCTACTTTACGTATTAACTAAAAAGGAAAAAAGAAAGCACATTGAAATTACGATTGAGTGCTTTCTTATCACTCAGAATTTTTACTTTATGCTTATTGCAAGAGCCCTACAGGTTTTAATTCTGGCACTTTTTTATAAAGTCTTACCTAAAGTTTTCAATAAATGGTTTCCAGATAACAATTATATTTCATCTTCCCATCTTTCTTCCCCAGATGGTCCTTAAGTTTTGCTGATATCTCATGTCTTCAGAGTAAGAACTCTGCAAATAGAGCAAAAGAAAGAAGTTGCTCAAACACAGGCAGTGACACTCATATGCTAACTACTGCCTGGTAATTGTCAGCCAATGCTCTTATTCCACTGTCAGAGATTAGAAAAATCGCATGTCTTACAGTTGATGAAATATAGTGTACATTGATGTTTATTTTATTTAGTTGTGGGAGAAGTAATAGGACTTCTGCTTTTTGGTAACTTTTTTTGGGGGGGGTTAAAATGAAATTTATTGGGGTGACATTGGTTAATAAGATTATATATTTTTAAGTGTACGGTTCTGTGGTACATCATCTGTATATTGCACTGTGTGCCCACCACCCAAAGTCAGATCTTCTTCCATCACCATATATTTGATTGCCTTTATTCCTTTTTTTAAAAATTAATTTGTTTTTGTTACAGATGTTTCTCATTTTCCCCCCATTGACACCCTTCTCCCCTCCCCCCCCCCCATCTTCAGCTTTGTTGTCTGTGTTCATTGGTCATGCGCTCTTTGGTAACTTTTGAGATGTCCTCTGTCTAATACATTGTCGATATTTGCGAATATGCTATTTGTGTTTACAGCTCACGTGGCACAAGTTTATTGGGCACAAAAGTAAACATGCTACTTAATCGTGGTACTAATGTTCTTTATAATCTTCTCTCTCTTTTATTCATTTATTCATTTTTGGCCAATTCTATTTGTTGAATTTTGAAAGAAGCAAACTAAACCTTTCATGATTTTGTGAATTTTTCAGTTTTCTTTTATTTTTATATTTATATTGATATGTCATGTTGTTAAATATATTAATGTTTACTAAATATTCCTTGAATTCTATTTATCTAATATTTTTGCTGATATGCTGATTAATTTTTATTGGCATTTTACCAGTTCAACTAACATGAAATATACATAATAGAAATATATACTAGAAAGTATATTATTTCTTTATTTTCTGTTGTTTATTATTCTTAGTTTGTATTTTGGAAACAGTGTGAATATGACTTTCTTTATTTTGTAAACTGAGTTTTTTACATTTTTATTAAGAATTTTAGCATATCATGAATATATATAATAATTGGTATGATTGGATGTATTTTCTATTTATCATTTTATTTGTTGTGTGAGAAGCAATAAACAAATTAGATACAGTTCTTTCTCTCATGGGTCTTATTGTGTAATGGCCAGTATCTTAAATACTTTATTTTTGTATATCATGTTATAGGTAAAAAGTACTTTCTCATACACTATTTATTCTTCAAAACTCTTCTCAAGGGAGATATTATCCCTATTTGAAAGGACAGAGAATTTAATAATATGGATTTACACAGTGGCAGTTTGGAGTGGAGAATTTATCCCTCAGTTTGTTAAATACATGATATAAAACTTTCATATAGTCACACAGGAAAAACTCCTCGGAACCCATTATAATTATATTTTCGGGTCATTTTAATGAGCTACTACTCTATATGTAAAACTATTTCCACTTATATGTACTCCATTCTTCCCTGGAGCAGAGAGACAATAATTTTCAAATTAAACGTAGTTTCTCTCATCATGGACTTTGCTTTTGATTTAGAAGCTAAACACCTTGAGTGTGGTCCAAAATAAAGGTAGTATTCACTTAGAACATATCTAAAAACATCTTTTCTGTCCCATTTTCTTTCCCTTTGTTGTTCAATTGCCCAACTTATGTGTCCTTAGTGACTAGTGCCTGGAACATAAGGGTTCAAGATATGCCGATGAATAGTGAATGAATGCTAAATTCTGCTCTATAGCCTTGTCAGTTACCACCTGGCATGAAATAAAAACTCAGTAAAGGAGTCTGAGTGTTGTCACCATGGCTGCAGCAAGATTCTTGAATGTATCATAAAACTCATGGTTTCTCAACAATTTACTCCTGATAATGAGACTAACATACTCAAGTTCAATGACATTATAAATTTTATGGTAACTTCCAATAAGACAAGAAAAATTAGAATAGCAACTTTACATGTTTTTTCAAAACTCTTCATAACTCATAAACAGAAAAAACATTAAGAAGAAAATATTTAATTGTGGCCCAGCTGGGGTGGCTCAGTGATTGAGCATCGACCCATGCACCAAGAGATCACTGGTTCTATTCTCGATTAGGGCACATGCCCAGGTTGTGGCCCCGCTCCCCAGTTGGGGGCGTGCAGGAGGTGGCCTAGCAGTGTTCTCTCTCATAGATGTTTCTCTCTCTCTCTTCCTCTCCCTTCCTCTCTCTCTAAAATCAATAAAGAAAAAATATTAAAAAAAAAAAAAAGAAGAAGAAGAAAGCATATAATTCTGGGCAAATTGAGCGTGGGATATCTAAAAGAATAACGTTTCTGGGCATATATTTTGGTTATATCTGGATGTATTTTTGTAACTGATGATTTTGAAAGTATTTCTGTTTCATAAAGTATATTTTTTGAAATATGTTCAGGAGTTTTGGAAACCTGAAAATTATTTTTTAATGAATACATCTAAGAGAAATTTAAATAAATCCAGTGGGTAATTTTACTATAATGATCTACTCGTAGTATTTTCATTTCACACAAAATAATCATAACCTGCATTTGCACTTGAACAATACAAGGTAATTGAAATTGTGAATGGATTGGTTAACTCGTGTGTGTGTGTGTGTGTGTGTGTGTGTGTGTTTAGTTATTTAAGCTATTTATTTTTAGTTTTTTGGTTAAAAGATTTATATTCAATGAGGAGGGAATTAGGCATTTAACAAATTATGGACATGAATTCCTTTTAGTACGCAGAAATGTTTAACATAAAACAGAGCCCAGAGGTATTAAAGGTAATGATTGAATTTGGTTAAAAATGGGGGTTGGAGGAGCATGTGACGGTGGAAACTGAAAAATCCACCCCCTTGTCTTTCATTTGCTTTGTTCAGAAGGTAATGGTGACTTTGAAGTAGAAAAATATTGATTCATCATGTTATAGCCAGGGGGATGTTAATACATTTTCCCTTTTTCTTCTAGCACACTGATTTATGTCAGTACATGGACAAGCACCCTGGGGGGCTGCATCCAGATAATGTGAAGGTAGGAAAAGATCTTTTTCAACCAAGTATTAGCATTCTTCACGTGCAAGTTTTGAGCCATAGTCTAACCTCTCTACCATAGCTTTTCCTTTTTTTGAAATTGTTGTCTTAAGAGAATATCGAAGTGAACCAAAGCTATTGGTTGTAGTTGGAAACCATGTTTTAACAGTAAATTTTTTCACTGGAGTATTAATGTTTAGATCTTATCGTATTTTTTTCTTCATGGAGAAACATTTGCCAATAATGAGTGAGATCCATTGGAATCTTTTTGTAGCACTATTAGCAGAGGGGAATCTCAGGTAGCTCTACCTTGGAGTCCCTGAAGTACCAGTTAGCGTCAATATAAAGTATTATTATGACCCAAAACAGTGGTGTGGTAAGCTCACAGAGCACACTTTCCATTTGTATGTGCAAACAGATAAAAATGGTTCTGTTCATACTGCTCTCCTTCATTTCTTTTACTACAAATTGGATTACTATTAGTCAAAAGAACACGGTTTTCATTATTTTACCTTACGGTTATCTTGGGAAATTGTCCCAAAATTTCAAGCTCAAAATAGAAGAGCCTTTTTTGGTATATATTAGGGAGTTAGACGATATCAAATTATGCCTGAACATCTAATGACGTGCTCACATTTTGTAATTCACATGACTACATTTCATGATCCTGAGAATCAGTGGGGTACGAGGGACGTATCTGAAGTGAAATTGTCTCAGTGCCCTCCCATTCATTGTCTATGCCCACCACTCTGCAGCATGGCATGTTTTCTCTCTCGTGCTTTTCCCCTTTGCTTGTAGAGGTGTATATGCCAATATGAGTTTTGTTATTTATTCTTTTGCTTTATAAAAATAATATGTATATTATTGTATGTTATGTTTAATTAAAATATATATCATGCATGTTCTTTAAAATCAGTATATGACTATGTAGTTCAGTCTTTCTAATAACTGCATATTAGTCCATAGTCGGAATAATTTTGAACTGTTTCTTGTAAGTAGATCTTTGGGTGGTTTCCAAAACATTAATGTTAAGACCAATTTTAGTCTAAATATTAGAATAAAACCTCTAAACTCTTATTTCTTTTGGATATCTAGTTAATGGGTTCTCTTTACTAAATAAGGGACATGATTTCAGTTTTAATGAATTTGGAACATTTTCCCACAAGGGTGTAAACTAGAGGAGACTTGGTTTTCTCTACTCTCACTAGCATTGACTGTAACCAGTCATTTGAATTTTTGCCATTCTGATGAGTAAAAATGGAATAACTTTTATGTTGGTATTTTCTTGACTGCTAGTAAGAACATCTTTTCTTAAGATTGTTGGCCATTTGTAATTCTGCCTTTTTAAATTGCTTGTTCTTATAGATTGCCCATTTTCTATTGGGTTTTTCTTTTTCTTTCTTTCTTTTTTTGTTAATCCTCACCCGAGGATATTTTTTCCATTGATTTTTAGAGAGAGTGGAAGGGGGGTGGGAAGAGTGAAAGAAAGAGGAAAAGAGAGAGAAACACTGATGTGAGAGAGACACACAGATTGGTTGCCTCCTGCACATGCCCCACCTGGGACCTGGGATCAAACCTGCAACCCAGGTACATGCCCTCAACCTGGAATTGAACTCATGACCCTTTGGTGTATGGGCCGAATGCTCCAGCTGCTGAGCAACACCAGCCGGGGCAAGGGATTTTGTTTTTCTTAATAAGTTGCAAGTACTTAATAATATGTGCAGCATTAATAATGAGGATTTTTATGATGGTCACTTATGTCATATAGTTTTTAAAAACAGTACCTCTGAAAAGTCTGGTTTTTTAAATGGAATTGATATGGTACTTAGAGTTTGTTGGTTTCTTTCCTGTACCTACCTCCTTTTGTTGTTTTTGTTTTATTGATAGATTTCTTTAAAATGTTTTGACTATTTGTTTTTCTTCAAAATTTGTATCCATTGACATAGTTTTTTAGTAGTTATATTGGGGAAGAAATTTTAACAGATGAAGAGGCTTGTTTTATTAATCTTGCTCATGTTTAATAAAAACATTACTATCACATGAGCATGATTTTATTCTTTTTTACCATTAGACATCTGAAATAGTCTTATTTATACATTAAATGTCCTCTTCCTAGGGTTGATTGGGTTTAAAATCAACAGCACAGTACATCCTTACCCGAGTCCCATGTTAACCCTGGGAATATGTAGAGGCCAGTTAGTGAGGCTTAGCTCTGGGGAGCCCAGGTGACTACAGCCTCAGTGGAAATCAACCACTACTCTTAAGTTAATTTTCACTTCCTGACTTCCAAATTCAGTGACAGGATTGAGATGAAAGAGATGAATGATCTTTTTCAAAGAACCATGGCGTCACTGGAGTTTTATTACTCTTGCTCGGTTTTCTCATCCACCCTTTGTGTGTCATTAGTTTGGGGCAAGTATTAGTGAAACAAAGAAAGAAAAGTCATTCCACAAAGTATGTCCATATTCACTGTCCTCAGGCCAATGTCACTGGTGATTTTTGTAGCATTTCTAAGTTCACTCCTTGAAATGGAATTTCAACTGCTTCTAATCTAGTTTCGTAAGCCTTTCTCCCTCCTCCCCATGGTGTTCGTCATACTTCAGTGGCGTTGTGTCTGCTCCTTATTCCGAGTGCAGGTTGTACCGTGGCAATCAATCACGTTTGCAGCTGCAGGACACGGTGCCTCCCAGGGTGTGGTGAGACACTTCGTGGTGGGTGCGACGTGCAGTCAGCGTACACACACTGTCACAGAAGTTAGATGCAACACCAGCTGAGAGGCTAGATGTTAGTCACAGAGCAGGAATTGTCCCTTGTTCCCGTACAGAAGTTGTTTAATGTGATCACAGACTGATGCCCTCCAACAGTTTTTGCCTCTGAAAGAGCATGATGTGATTTACCTCTTATGCTATTCTGAATAACTGGAAGGCAGCAAAATATGTTGATATATGGGTATTCCTTTCCTCCTAGCGATTGAAATCTTGGCTTCTTGCGGATTTGCCAGAACGCACTGGACAGTCTCAGTTCCTGGAGTGTTTAAGGGTACAAGAAGCCACAGTAGTCACCTGAGACGTCTTCCAATTTGGCTGCACAGCAGAGTCACCTGCAAAGCTTTAATATATATATTAAATAATACTTGATATATATATTTATATATATATATTTTAAAACATGTCTTAAATACATATATAAATATATACTATCATATATGTATATATCATATATATTTTTACCTCCCAAAATAAGAATCAAATTTTAAAATTTGAAATAGGAGAAGGTAGGCATTTGCTCAGACCCAAGGCTGAGAGCCCAGGGTGCCTCCCAGGACCCACAGCCTCCCCACGCTTCTCCGTGGCCCTGAGTGGCTTCACCCCCAGCCTGGAGGACATGTACACTCGCTAGCAGTCCTGGCCTGTAGCTCTGTCACTGCCTTTCAGCCCGTCTGCCGCCATTGCTCCCCACGCCAGCGAGGTGGTTGTAGTGGGATGTCCCAGAGTATGGCAAAGCTGGGCAAGTGGGAGGGGGAGGGGAGAGCATGCGAGACAGGAACAGCCTGTGGTGCTTCACAGACAGTGTCGCCCATGGCTCAAGGCAGAACATCATAGGCATCTTTTGTGGAGAATCTGGTCAGTCCAAGAGAACAGACCTTAAGAATAGAATCTAGGTGACTACAGTGAAGATCCCAGTTGACAAAGAAGTACCTTGGGTGAAGCAGAGTTTCTTGCATTGATTTGCTAGATAAAGATAGAAAAGAAATTACAATTAATAGTCCCAAAGAGGTAAAAGAAAATAGTATGTCTATAAAACGAGAGTAAGTTATTTTTACCAAGAACTTAACTAAAGTAGCTTTGGAAATTAAAAATATGATGACAGAAATTAAAACAACAAAAATAAAAAAGGGTGAAAGATAAAGTTGAAACCATTTGCCAGAAAATACAGCATAGAATACAAATATGGAAAAGGAGAAAGTATCAATAAACCCAAGAGTCCAGTCCAGGGTGTCCAACATCTGAATAATTGGAGAAAATAGAGAAGAGAGAATCATTAAAGTACTAATTATTAAAATATACTTTTGTAAGATGTGAAGGATGTGAATTTCAAGATTAAGAGGGTCCACTAAATGCCCGGACATTTAATGAAAATATTATTCGTGGGGTGCCCTCTGCATCTCCACCTGTTACCAGTGGAAGTGGAGTTCTTGGAGTGCTGTGGGAACAAGCATTTCCTGGGGTCCTCATGGGAGAATGAGGTATGGTGGAAATCTTTATTGATGATGAAACATTCCAAGGGGTTCCCTTCCAAGGTGCCCACTCCCTCCCCTCCACGATGGAAAAGTCCCATCTGTCTTCAGCAATGTTAGAATTAAAGCCACTGCCCAGAGTCTTCACTCCATATTTAAGCACCGTCCAGTCCAGCATCTGATCAGCTTAGCTTGTGTTCCAGCTTCAGTCCATTGCACATGGGATCCACATGGCCATGGCCATAAGGCTGATTAAGGCCACATGGTGGGCTAGGGCACAGGCGAGTGCGGGTCACAGATGAGTGAGAAACAGGAGCACGGGAGCAAGCGAGAGGGAGGACGTTCTCTGGGCATTGTAACCAGGAGCGTAGCCAGCCAGCTCTGCAGGACTGTGTGCACTTGCAGTGGCCCCGCCCTCCAGCCAATCATCTGTGTTCCCAGGTTAGACTGACAGACAAGCGCCTCCTCTAGGTCCTCACCCCCACCTTCACCAGGCATGTGCCCATCTTCCCTGTGTTTGCTCCCTTCCCCCAGAGATCTGCAGGGAATGGACCTGTGCTTCCCTGGGAGGATGAAGCTGCAGCTTCCTGCGAAGCTGCCCAGATGACCGTGCTATAATGTCTGGCCTCCCTTTGCTCTTTTCCTGTTATTAATATTGGCTAGCTAACGGCGACATTAACAAAAATAGACTGATTATAATGTTCCTTACTACATTATTTCAGAACACTAGCTTCAAAGAAAAGTCCTACATAAAGAAAACAGGT